GGGGGGGGTCCTTGGACTGCGCGCGAATAATATGTGCATAATTTGTTTGTTCTCTAGGCTGGGTAGGTTTGTTGTTCTCGCTGCTTTGGCTAACGCTAGCTGTGGCAGGTTTATGCTGCGGTGGGTGGTTGGCGGGTGCTTAAGTCGAGTGGTTTGCTACTTCTTTTCCTATCATCCGACACATGTATAGATAGTTCTGATCGCTCCTCTTTCTTTTGTTTTTATGTTACTCTCTTTTGACACCTTTAGTCTTCTGCACTTTTATGACCCAATTGTGTTGTTAGTGCCGTAAAACTCTCGCAATTAAAAAAAAAGTTTATGCTGCGTGTTGTTGACGGGAGAGATCATACTTAGGTACTAAATGGAAGCTGATAGCTCAGTGGATATCATGTTGGACTCATTTTGTTCTCCTGCAGTATGTTATATCATCACAGACTTGACGTCAAGCCTACTTCGTTATATTTTTTGTCTATTCTTGACTTAGGGGTTAGTCTTTTATTTTTTTAAATATTGGAATCATTGTGACGAGACCAGCATCTGTGGGGCAGTAGCTACGCACTTTGCCATCGCACAAAGAAGACCCTGGATTTCATTCTCATGTGGGGAGAATTTTCATCTAATATCTCCGTCTTTCTGCTGGGGTGTTGAACCCCTGACAGCCCTGGTTAGCTCAAATAATAAGCGGGGTCTCCACCTGAGTCTTCACTCTGTGTGTGTTGCCAACATAAGGGAGGCTGAAAAGTCTTGTGTTAAATCGCCTTAATGAGTGGAAATCTGCACAAGACCATTACTGTATGTTTAATTCCAGCACTGCTGGGTATCTGTTTTTGCTGCCTAATCACATTCCCAGCCATACCATTAATTTAGTTTAAAAAGATTAGGCCTCCTTGTATTGAAAAGTAATTGAAGCTCATAGCATAATTTGTAGATTAAAGGTGAAATGTTGACAATTGTCTTTACTGAAAAGGGAATTTTTAATGATCTAAAGATCCTGGTGCCTGTAGTGTAGCAGTAAGGCGCTTTGTTGTCAAACGGACAAGACCTGATTTCAATTCCTGTGTGGAGAAAATTTTACTATCAAGTATCTATTGGGGGGGGGGGGGGGGGGGGA